TATATATATATATATAAAATTAGCCAGGCGTGGTGGTGCATGCCTCTAATTCAGCTACTTGGGAGGCTGAGGCAGGAGTATCACTTGAATCTGGGAGGCGGAGGTTGTGTTGAGCCGAGATCGCGCCGCTGCACTCTCTAGCCTGGGCAACAAGAGTGAAACTCCATCTCAAAAAATAACAGCAACAACAACAAAGCAGGGTTTCTCAACCCTGATACTACTGACACTGTGGGCTGAATCCTTCTTTGCTGGGGCTGGTGGGGTGCACTGTCCTGTACACAGCAGGATGCCTAGCAGCACCTCTGGCCTCTTTCCACTAGATGCCAGTAGCACCCCCCCTTCCAAGTCATGACAATCAAAACCGTCTCCAGAGATCGCCTGAGCCCAGGAGTTTGAGGAAGCGGTGAGCTGTGACCGTGCCACTGCACTCCAGCCTGGGCAAGACAGCAAGACCCCTTCTCAAAAAAAAAAAAAAAAAAAGTCTCCAGGCAGTGCCACATGTTGTCTGGGGGTAAAATCAGCCCTGATTCCCTGGTTCAAGCAAATGCTTTACAAGGAACAGGATGCAGAGGAGGGAGAAGGCAGACAGCCTGGAGTTGAGAGTGCTGGGAATGAGACAGCCAAGGGGGCTGTGATGAACCCGAGAGAAACGGGAAGGAACACTATCCTGGAGGGTGGGTGGGGCTGCCTGGCCAAGTTCTCTCTGGGAAATTCACTTGAGATCTAAGAGCTTTCCCCATATCTGTCAGGAGGAAATTCTTTTTTTTTTTTGAGACAGGGTCTCGCTCTGTCACCCAGGCTGGAGTGCAGTGGCGAGATCTCGGCTCACTGCAAGCTCCGCCTCCCGGGAGGAAATTCTAAAGCGTTAAGTTTGTTAGCAAAACAGAAGGCAAAGCTCTCTCCTAAAGAGGAAATAAAGAAGTTTCAACATGCTTTTAAAAACACCATAGAAAAAAAGTAATACCCAGAAGAGCCTAGGAAAAGAACAGTGTGTGCCCTGTGAGGTGGGAAGAGGACTCACCCATTGAAGAAGATCTGGGCCAGTTTGAAGAGCTCATGGCCCATTTCAACGCTGGACGGCCCGTGGCGAACCTCCGCCACACGGAGACTCTTCTGTAGGTGGGTGGCTGACTTTTGCCAGTCCCCTGTGAGAAGAGAAAAGTCTTGTTCCAGAAAAGAACCACAGTCAACTGTGGATGCACATTTTTGGGGTGAGAAAACGGAATGAGAGGGGGAGCGGCGTCCGTTTACAGAGTGGGGGTAACCAGGCAGACAAGGCCGGGGCCACGATGAAACACCCACAGCAGACCGTTCCTGACGCAGAACATGAAGGCCGACGCCGTACCTAAGGCAGCACAGGCCCGGGCCAGGCCGTCCGCGATCTCTCCCACCATGGCGTGTTCTGCCCACAGGAAGCTCTCGGCATCACGCTGGCACCCCGACAGCAGCTGAACGGCTCGCTCTGTCAATTCAGAGGAAAGAGGCCTCACTACAGACATAAGCCCAGTCCTAGAAATGAGAACCCAGGTCTCAAATTCTCTGAATCAGCTGGGCTGGACGTGGACATTCCCCTCGGCCTCCCTGGGTTGTCAGCAGCCCACAGCGTCTGTTCCAATAAAGCGGCTGTTCTCTTATGTTTTCTCTGTCAGTGGAGAGAGGTGCTGGGGAGGCCTTCCCACATTCACCCTGGGTTTACAACATCAACTTCCCAACTGCACCAACTCTACCTTTCACGTACGGCCATGACTTCTCTTGACCCTGAAATCTAAGCTAAAGGTCAACTTTCATAAAGCAGGGTAAACACAATCCCATGACGTCAAGCTCTAAGGCAGGGTTTTCAAGGGCGATGGGGAGCTCCACAACTCTCCTTCTGAAAAGAGCAAGACACTCCTATCAGCTGGGCTCTCGCCCCACTGCTCCGCAGCACAGACCAGCTCTGAGGAGGGCAGAACCGCCCTTCTAGGAAGTTACGTTGCTAGGCCCTGGAATTAAAAGAAATGACACTGAACTTCTGGAACTGCACAAAGCTCACGGATGTCAGTGATGACCCGTTCGCTGGCAGGGGTACTTCAACTTAGCAATCGGATGCAGAAGAAAACAACAGCCGAAATCACCTGGCCCCTTTTCAAGGGCCCCACAGTAACAGGGCTGGTCAGGGTTTGGTCTCACTGGCCTATATAGCCATCTTGTGGCTGGCATGGGGATAATGACATTCGATTCTTCCATCAGTACTGAGTATCCTTGAGTCCAAAATGGTATCAGAATGAATAAAAGGGAAGGGGCTGGAGGACCTAAGCGGGGAGCCAGTCTCACCTAGTTCCCCATCTCTGAGAAGCTTCTGGGCCACTCCGACCTGCTGCTGAAGGTCCTGTAACCGAGACACTAGGTGGTCTCTGCTGACGGCGGATTCTGCACAAGATCTGTTGCCACAGCGCAGCACGCCATCTCCCTGTGGAAGTCAGTTTCCTCTTTATTCCAACGCCAGGGTCGGTTATCAGCGTTGCCTGTGCTTACATTATAGGATTGCTCCACAGTTTCTTACCTCATGGAGGAAAGAGACACCTGTAATAGCACATCATGACCAAAGCCTGATAGAATTTGGTTTGATGGCGGCAGTTCCAATGAAGGCAGGAGCTGATCCCACCTGAGGTTTCATTCTTGGAACAGAACGGGGATAGTGCACCATTTCTTTCCATTTCTATAGCCCCTCTCGTCGCTTTTTGGGGCCAGGACTTTAGATGACGAACATTTCCAGTGGTTATGAAAAAGTCCTAAGAAAACCAATAGAAAGGCCGGGCGCGGTGGCTCACGCCTGTAATCCCAGCACTTTGGGATGCCGAGGTGGGTGGATCATGAGGTCAGGAGATTGAGACCATCCTGACTAACACAGTGAACCCCGTCTCTACTAAAAATACAAAAAATTAGCTGGGCGTGGTGGTCGCAGGTGCCTGTAATCCCAGCTATTCGGGAGGCTGAGGTCGGAAAATGGCATGAATCCGGGAGGCGGAGCTTGCAGTGAGCTGAGATCGCGCCACTGCACTCCAGCCTGGGCGACAGAGCAACACTCCGTCTCACCAAAAAAAAAAAAAAAAAAAAAAAAGAAAAAAGAAAACCAATAGAAAGGCCGGGCGCGGTGGCTCACGCCTGTAATCCCAGTGCTTTGGGAGGCCGAGGCGGGTGGGTCTCTTGAGGCCAGGAGATTGACACCAGCCTAGTCAACATGGAGAACATGGCCAACCCATCTCTACTAAAAATACAAAACTTAGCTGGGCGTGGTGGCATATGCCTGTAATCCCAGCTACTGGGGAGGCTGAGGCAGGAGAATTGCTTGAATCTGGGAGGTTGAGGCTGTGGTAAGCGGAGATTGTGTCACTGCACTCCAGCCTGGGTGATAGGGCGAGACCCCATCACAGGAAAAAAAAAAAAAAAAAAAAAAAACCAATAGAAAAAGGTGCTAGGTATGATTGCCCTACATTTGACCTCGGGTCTGTAAGTTTAGCTTTCTACACAATCAGCTCTGCGTTTCACT